GAGCAAAGGGATGAGAAAGCTTGTCTGTTTTGTCACCATCTTGAGCTAGAGAGTGTAACTTGTGGCTTAGCACCTGTCTGACCTGTGTCCATGGAGAACCTTTCTTCCTGCCTGGTCTAGGCACAGAGCTGACTTGTTCCTCATTTTTAACTGTGAGGCCTTTTATTATAATATGTTTCAAGTTCTGGTCAGTATAATAAGGCAAAAAATAAAAATATTGAGCAAAACGCAACAAAGCGATGACAAAATTACCCTTATTTCTTAGTAGATGGTGTGGGTGTGCTACAGGTATAATTTTTCAGTGTACAAATTCATATGCAACACACGTGACATTTCTTTAGTTCTGAAATCAATGCAATTCAGTGGGAAGTCAAATCTCTCTTATTTATTTTATTATTTATTTATTTGACCTCCTCCATTCCAAAGTTTCCTGGTCTTGGCCAAGGAAAGTTCCTCTATTCATAGGTTCCCACTGGCTAGTGCTGGAGTGCCAGTGCTCTCTGAGATGTCCCACTAGGACTGAGACCTTGCTGCTCTCCTAGGTACTGCCTAGCTGCTTGCAAATCTCCATTGCTCCTGTGAGAGGTGTGCCAGGTTCCCAGCCACCTCTTCCTCTCCTCCCTAGGCCATGTCCTGTTCATTTTCCTCTCTGCGTTGCTTGTGCCAGTTACCGATCATTGCCTGTTGCAAATTTAGGAAGAGTCTGCCCTGCAGAAGCATCTGAGGCAAAGATACACAATGCCCTGGCTTTCTACCTTTCGTGCAAGAAAAAGAACAATACAAAAGATAAACAGAAACCACCATCAAAACAAACTGTTGCACCATTGCGTGACCACAACAAACCCTGACTACATCAATTTACAAATTTACTGAGAGTTCAGCTGGATAACAGAACACAAATGTTTAAAAAATACTATACCATTTTATAGAACAAAATATATACAATGCCTAGGAATTATTTTAGAAAATGGTTGTTTCTCTACTCTCCATTTTATAGAGGAAAGAAAAAGGGCATAAACAGGTGACTGGTCCAAATTTACACACCTATGTAGTGGCAGGGCTAGACCACAAACCCGTCTATCCAGGTACAAACTCCATGCACTCAATCACTATAGCATACTGCCATAATACAGCGATATATTCTGGTTTATGTTACAGTGATTGGGTGATATATGGAGAGATAGGAATATATCTCTCTCCTGCATTTATTGAGCATGTGCTATGTGCCAGGCAGTTTGCTAAAGACTCTTCAAATGTGATATCTTTTAATCCACAGTATCCACTCACATAGGTGTTATTAATCCATTTTACACCTGAGGCAGATGAAGACTGTGATGAACTAATTCTTCCTTCATTCTTCAACTGTAATCTGGCTTATTCCAAGAATGCCATTAAAGTTGTTCTGACAAATATTACCCATAATCTCTCCAGAACATTTCAGTGAGACCCTTTTGAGTGATTGCATCTACATCTTGGCTGTAACTGATAATGCTGGTGATTTCCAGTGTCTCTGGCACCATCTGTTATCTGAGCTTCAGACTCACACAAACGACTGTATATTAATGTTACCCATTCAGGTGACATTTAGGCACCTTCAACTCAACATGTGAAATTTTAACCAACTTCTTTCTCCCTAAACAAGCTCCTACTTTTGAGATTTGATCTCAGTTATTGGTGTCCAATCACCCAAATTTTCCTTCTTGACAACTTTCTCTTCTCCGCAACCAAATACAATCAATAACCACATCAGAACTATTTATATTCTTGGTAGTTTTAAAGGACATTGTAGGTTAGGACCTTAGTAAAGGACAGGACATTGTAGGTTAGGACCTTAGCCCAGTTTCTAGCACAATAAAAACTCTCAAGAAATGTTGGCTATTAATTATTTTTACTAAGATATAAACAATAACAATAGCCACTACCACCACACAGACACACTGACTGTGCCACTGCAGACCAAGGGTGTTAATTAGATGCCAGACATTTTAAATTAATGCCCCTATTGTGTCTTTTCTCTTTCATATTTCCATATCTTTGCTCTGTGTTTAAAGAGACTTCTTCAACGTAACTATCTTTCCTTTTGCTTTTGTTTTAACTAATATTTTTAATTTGTAAAAGCATTTTAATTGCTGTTTTCTTTCTGTCTTTGGGTTTAATTTCTTTTTTTTTTTTACCAGTTTTTTTTTTTAATTTTTTATTGCATTTTAGGTTTTGGGGTACATGAGCAGAGCATGCAAGACAGTTGCGTAGGTACACACATGGCAATGTGTTTTGCTTCCTTTCTCCCCTTCACCCACATTTGGCATTTCTCCCCAGGTTATCCCTCCCCAACTCCCCCTCCCACTGGCCCTCCCCTTTTCCCCCCAATAGACCCCAGTGTTTAGTACTCCCCTCCCTGTGTCCATGTGTTCTCATTTTTCATCACCCGCCTATGAGTGAGAATATGCGGTGTTTCATTTTCTGTTCTTGTGTCAGTTTGCTGAGGATGATATTCTACATCAATAGTATACATGAAAACCTACAGTTCCCAAGACACACTTCCATAGAGGTACTTCCATTTCTTACCTTATAGAAGGGCTTTACTAAGGGGGAGGTGTGTTCAAGATTTAATGTGTCAGTATTCCCTTGTTTTCTGTAATTGACAGTCCCAAGCTGGACACAGAAAGTAACAGGGGTAGAAAAGAGGGAAGATAGGGCAAAGGGCAATATTATAACCCATTTGGAGAGTCCTCCGTACAGTAAAAGTGGGGAGATGATGATTAGTTTTAGTTAAGAGTCAAAAATCAGGAGGAAGAATATAGTGTTTTCCTTTCTTCAAGATTTAAAATTTTTAACTTCAATTCTTTTTTTCTTTTTTTCTTAGAAATGTGGTCTCACTTTGTCACCCAGGCTGGAGTGCAGAGGGGGTAATCATAGTTCACTGCAGCCTTAAACTCCTGAGCTCAAATGATCCTCCCACCTCAGCCTCCTGAGTAGCTGAGACTACAAACATAAACCCCCATATCTGGCTAATTTTCTAAAAAATATCTTTTTAGAGAGGAGGTCTTGCCATTTTGCCCAGGCTGGTCTTGAACTCCTGGTCTCAAGTGATCCTCCTGCCTTAGCCTCCCAAAATGCTGGGATTACCGGAATGAGCTAGCACACCTGGCCCCTTCTTCTTTCTGATGAAAAGCTCTGTTTTATTTCATGAGTCAATGCATACATTAGCCAGTCAGGCCCCAGGAAATCAGAGTTAGTGAAAATATCTGCCAAATTCTTGGTTTGGTTGTTTGGTTATTAAAGGTAACCAAAAAGATAACTAGGAGATGGCTCTTCTGTGAAACGATGTGACAATTCTATGTTCTGTCTTTCACCCCTGCAGTGGTTCTAAGGAAAAGCAGGTCATAAGCAAGGTTGTCATGGAGCATTTTAACCAACGACTATCCCTCCTTGTAATACATGGTAAGATTCTGGACAAGAACAAAGGCCCAGACTTTTCTCACCTTTCTCTGTCTCACATGCACCTTTCCAGCCCATTCCCCTTTATTCATACCATTCTCTTCTAGCCCTCCTGTTTCAACTCAAAACGAGGCAGAAATATCAATGCTTAGTTGTTATTCCCAATCACAGTGTTCTCTAGCAAGTAAGTAAAAAGATGTGTCTGATTAATCATGTTTTAAAAAATAATAGCAAAGAAGAAAAACCCCACATAGAATTCTAACTAAACTGTTAGAGTTACCATTACTGATCACAGCAATTATTAGTGTTTTCATGTTCATAACCAGCCTGAGACTTGGTTTTCTGAGCAGAAAGCATCTCAGAGTTTGTAAACTTGCCACAAAGTCATAGACTCTGCGGGCCAGCAGGGTTCTCATGAATCATGAGTTCCGCCATGTCCCAGAGCTGCCAAAATGCAGCTCTTCCCCACTTTCCACAGGAACTGGGGGTGCCTCAGCCTTTGGAAAGCTACCTTGTATTCTGTCCACACTCAATAAATGCTGCTTAATCATGACAATTAGAATATGTGTTCCATCTCACTTTTCTCCTGAACACCTCTATTTAGGGAGCCACAAATATTTCCCCGAGACATTTATTCCATTGCCCAATTGGCGGCACAGTCAAAGAAATTTTCCTACGGTCTCCCTCGAATGTTTCCATATTCTTTTTGCAGCTCAGGCGTTCCCCCTTGTCTTGTGCATGGATACTGCCCTAAACTATGTTGGTGGTTAAGCAGTCATGCTGGGAGGACCTTGCCTCAAATTTCTTGTTTCCAGGTAGTCAACTCCGAGAATATGTTCCTGGATTCTAGGATGAGCTGAGCTTGCTTTGCAACCATTCATTATGAGAAAAAGAAAATTGCCTACTTACTTATTTTTAAATGTTGGAAGCTCTGCCAAGGCGGAAGACTGGGGAGCTGCTGAGCCGTGTGGAGTGGCCAGGGGCAGAGGCTGCCCGACTGTGGTTGCAGGATGGCCTCTGTCCCTGCTAATAACCAGGGGATCTGCAGGAATAATTAGCTGAGTTTCCAAAGCCCTTCCTCTTAGGGTGTGTCCTCTTCAGAGTCCAGCTACAGTGGCATGAGTCTGTGCAATGAGCCCACAGAGATGGTTATAGTGTATATGGCCTTGTGTGTGTAAATACAGTTCACCAACAATTGTGTTTTAGAGAGGCACTAAAATGCCAGTTCAGATCCGTCTTATCCAGTAGCTCCTGTGCTTACTTCCCCAGCATGAGTTCTTCCTCTTAGAGCTGTGAGTGGGATCAGCCTTAGGAGATGTCTGAGTTACAAACTGTTCCCCTTTGACACGACCCCCAAAGCCCTCCCTTCCCAAAGAAACTACCTCACGGCAAGAAATATCTGCTAAAAAATTTACTCTTCTAGATTTAAGGGGTGATTTCTCAATGTGACAATATCCCTGAGATTAAAATTCAGGGCTATTTCTACTGATCTGCATTAACGCCTATGATAGAGGTCAGGAATACAGCTCTGAGTACAACAGCCAACATCCCCTTTTTTACAGGAAAAAGGCAGACATTAACAGAACAGGGAGCTCACAGAGTCAGCACTCCCGGGGACAAGACAGCCAGATTTTCCTTAAAAGGTGACCCCAGGGCTGAAAACCACAGGAGAAGTAGAATTTTTCTCAACAACAACATCTTGAGGTCATAATGGTAAGTGAAAAACAAGGCGTCGAATGCGATTACAGCTTGTATTTTTCCATAGCAATTACAGCAAATAGGATTGAGTCTGTTTGGTAGCAACCCCTCCCCCCACCGCCACTAACGTGGAGCCACTGGCGTTGTATTCATAGTTCCCACTCCGCAGGCTTTGAGAAGGCTGCAGTAAGTCACCCGTGGTCACACAGCTCCTCAGTAAAAGAATACGAAATAATAAGCGAGCATAAGTGAGCCTTCCAATTCCGACTCCAGGAAACTTTCAAGCACAGCCGTCGGAGAAACTGGCTGGGGAGCAGAGGTAAAAGGAGAGATCAACCTGACCTCAGATGCCCAACTTCGGCAGTGGGCCTTGGTTTTATAAATAAATGCAAGTTTTTTTTTAAAAAAAGGAAGGTAGTATAACAGAAAGGCTTCAGAGACATATCCAAATTCAAATCCGAGCTCTGCCAGTGATTAGCTCTAACCTTGGGCAAATAATTTAACCCAACTATAACATATGACTCCATCCAAGCCAGCAGGAAGATTAACTGAGCTGCTAGAAGACACAGAACTAGTACCTGATACATGTTCTCATAATATGTCTTCTTTCTCCTTTAACCCAAGAAAAGAAGTAAAGGAAACATGTTCCTTCACAAGAGAGGCACTAGAAAAACTACTCCAAATAGCCAACCAGCTGTGGAGCCCTCAGGGCCAAGAGGGGGGTTCAAACATTAATAATACTGGGAGGCAGGAGGGTACCCATGGATGATGCCTGCTCTCCCCTGATTCAGCTCCAGGAGTCAGGGAGAGTTAATACCCACTACAGCGGAAGGAAACCTAAATAGGGTTTGTTCTAGAAGAAACAGGAGGCAAAAAATAAGGAAGAAAAATTGGGTAAGTAAATGAAATAGATGGGCGTAGGACACTCTGCTGTGCTCTTCCTGGATACCTTGGCTCTGTTTGCACCTCATATGTCCTGTGACCTATGTATGTAACTGCCGTGATTGTCTATTCTGACAGATAAAATGTTTAAAGGCATATCTGGGGCCCTCCCAGGGTAAATGTTTATCTCAACATAAAGTACATTTCTGGTCAAATTTCTGCTTCCAGTTTGCTCTCCTCCATACACTTTTTTTGATCCAATTTAACTTGTGCTACTTTGTAATAATTTATCTTCCTTTATAAGACTCCTGAAATCTCTTTATGAAAAGATAGGTATAAGTGAAGAAAGACAAGGCAAATAAGTAAACATTAGATTTAAAACGTTTTTCACATTCCCACTTGCCAGCCCTCAGGCTGTTTCTAAATCCAGCTTTTGAAGCTCTAAGTGTCTACTATTGCTCATGGCTGTCATGGCATTCCAAGCCAAGTTTCCTTTAAACAGGAAAAAAATATTAAAAAGCCCAAGTTAAAAACCAACAATCAAGGTCTTATTCTTAGATTGTCACTGCTGCCCTGGGTTAGGCCTTCGCTGCAGCGAGGTGTGGGTCATTGTTAGCTGGTTTACTTCAGAATCATCCCCAGCCCCATTCTTCTGGGGCCACCTCCTCCATAAAACCTGGAAATATAAAATACGCATTTCCCCAGCTTTCTGTGTAGGTAGCAAGCTCTTGTGGCTTAGTTACGGCCGATGAAGCCCATCATTTCTTGATGAAAGTATAAAAGGTGCCAGCAATTTTCTTTTTCTCCTTACTTGAACACAGATGAGATGGCTAGAGCTGGAGCAGCCATCTTCTGACACTGAGGCAATAAGCCGTCATACTGAGAATGGCAAAGCAGAAAAATAAAAAGAGCAACTCCTGTACTGTCTGGCTCCAAACGTATGGTTAACTGAGACATACGAGCCTCTGCTTGGCTAAATTAGCATTAGTCAAGTTTTCTACTCCTTGAAGCCAAAAGCTTTCTCAACTAAGATAGATACAAATATAGTTATAGATTAGATATGGATGTAGATATAGATATAGATACAGTTATAAGCAGATAGATTTATCCCTAGAAAGCCATTCCTTTTCAATACAGGCATGTATAAGAAAATACAACTTCATTGCTCTATACAGTACAGATCTATAGAATAAATTATCATCTGAACTCAAAAATGCATGCATAGTATCTCCAGGTTATTTCCTTTAAGACGCTCTACAAAATAGGACATCTAAATCCACAGCAATAATAGGAAGACAGACACAAATTCCATGCCAAGTCATTTTACCTGAAGATACAGTTTCACTCTGCATGAGAAACACGATGCTTTAATCTAGAGAGAATCTGAAGATGAGTTTGAAGTAAGCGAACAAGGGAGAACCTCAGATCACTCTGAGAATAAACAGCTTTCAATCCCAAACCAACCACTCTCAGCTTCAAACAAGAAAATTAGAAATGTGTTCTTATTTTTATCACCATCATTTTCAAAGCCCCAATAGACTGATGACGCAAACAACTTTCTTCAAACCGCTCCTGGTTAAGCCAGACTGGCTGACCCACGTGTCTATCATGTTGCTACGTTCCCTCACTCATGGTGCGCTTTCTTTCGCTCACACTGTCCTGGAGATAAATTTTTGGATCCATTTCCCAACTGACATCCGCCTCTGCCCTGCTCCTCTGACTGTCGAGAACATCCTGATTCACCTGCTGATATTTTGGACCTCAGCTCTCTTCTAATTTATGAGCTCAGTTACTCTTCCATTGTGACATTCTTCTAAAACAAACTGCAGTCCCAGCTCAGCTGGACTGAGAAGAGGAACTCTAGCCCAACTACAGCAGAAAAGCTCCATTTCCCCTCCGCCCCAGTAAAAGGATTTCAAAGACAGTGAAGCCAGAGGTGAAAGGGTAAAGAGTGGGAGCCACATCACTTTGCTTCTGGTCATAAATTGCCTCTGTTTTCATCTGTGGAACAATCTTTGTGTAGGGAGGGGAAGACAGCATACCATGCTGGACACAGATGAGACCATCTTGAATTGGTTTCCTGAAATGAAAAAATGAGGACATACATGGTAAAGGGAGGCTTCTAGGTCTTTTCTGAAGGAAATTATCCAATCAGCGGGACAGAACAAAACCTGATTATATGAAGTGGACCTTATGTTCATGACGAGTTTTAGAAGCAACCCTATGTTCCTCTCCCCTCCTGTGCCGTCACCGCTTAGGCTCCAGCAGTGATGACAGATCAACTCTCCCCATAATCCGTATCACAGAATGCCATTCGTTACGGGGATTGGGATTCAATAAAGTTAAAGTAGGCTTAGGAGATCCTGCCTGAGAAATTTAATATGTGGGGCCTTATGTGTGCTCTGAAGTACTTTGACCAAACTGCGATTATGTTCCAAAGGGGACAGTTTCCGAACTGTGCAGCAGAGAGGGCAGTCTACCTGATGGGACTTGTTAGTTAGGAGGAAATACTCGTCATGAGGAATGTGAGTGAGGAAGGCTTTGTGCACATGTTTCCATGCAAATAAAGATCGTGAAGGAACTACAGCCACCTGCCACCACCCCTTCCTCACTGAACCCTAATTTCGTTCATGCTCACCTTGCATGGCAGGACAGTCTGGGACTCTTTGCTGCCACAGGGGGAGAATGCTCATTGATCCAGACTAACTATGGTAATTCTGTATCCTAGACCAGTGGTTCACCCAGGAAAAGACACATTCCCAATTCTGGCCAGTGAGGTGAACTTCTGGAGTAGTGTTTCAAGCCCTTAAAAAAATGGAAATAAGAAAAATACCTATTTTTCTGTCTCTGAATGTCACCGTGTGAGGATATGATACTGGGAACAGCCATCTTGTGATCTTGAAGGAAAAGCCAAGACAATTGCAAAGATGGTTGACGTCACTGAGCTCCTGACTGAACTTCCTTGGAATTTCCTGGTGCCCAGACTTCCTGTTGGGTAAGATCAGACACATCTTTATTTATTAAGCCACTTTTAGCTAGGTTTTATTGTTGTTGCCTGCAGCAGAATGCATCCTAGGTGATACACAAATCATCCCTAGAGGGACAGAGTCTACAGATGATTTGGTTGGGTGAAGGAGGAGGCACTGAGTCTTGGAGGGGAGAAATGCTTGCCTGCGTTGCAGGAGGTAGACCTTCTGCCTCATCACTGTGTGTTTTCCTCTCCACCACACTGGTTTAGAGGGAACTTCGCGTTCATGTTAAGGCCATCGGCATTCACTCTTATTTGAATGATTTTCTTATGATGATTATGGATGTCATTTCAAATAAAATATTTATCTTGCCTAACCAGGTAATGGGAAATCTTTAGCCACAAGGTTAGAAACTAGACTCAACCTTGAAATTTATTGCCTACAACTCTAAACCAAGCCACGGTCAGAGAGCTGAGAAAAAGAATAAACAATGAGACAGCAGCTGCCTGGTCTTTCAGTGATGGATGGGAAGCCTAGATATGGTCAACAATGACACCAAGCCATAAATATTCTATATTTAACCTACAGTGTCAAAGTTGTTTGATTTTTATTATTGATGTGTGGACACCCTCACGGTCTTAAATTCTAAATCCTTTATCTTATACTGCCATGTTATTAGGAAAAAGGGAAAGCGCTTTTTAAAAAACCTCCAATTTGCATAGCTTTTTAGACTTTGGGCTTGCTGGTATTTGATACATCTCTGATATGACTGAAGAATTCCAGCACTGAGCTATTCCTGAGAAGAGACTTGTTTTCTGAGGGCAGGGATTACTGTGTGTCTAGTCAGGGTGAGGCGCAGATAAAGGGAGTTTTAAAATCATAATGTTTCAGAATCTTGCAATTAGTTCTTTAAAAAGAATCTGTTATAAATAAGCCATAACATTCTCTTTATAATGCCAGGGCTGCCATCCTTGCCAAAAAAGACTTTTTTGGAGACAGTCTTCTCTTCCCTGTAGCATCCTGAACTCGACCAAAGAAACGAATTCATGTTGATGGATCACCGTTATTGAGGGATGCGGGCATGATTCCCACTTGCTCCCCGCAAATAATCGTTACTCCAACCTAAAAAGTAAATCCAAACCAAAATGTCCTCCTTGTTTGGAAAAGCTGCCTTGTTTGGGTCATAGCAGCCCCATCGCGGCAAAGACATCATGGTAAAATTATTTGACCCCAGGACTTACTTCCTCTAGGAGAATCTTGGATGCAATGTGATCACCGTTCACATCTTCCACCGTCATTCTGCCACATGGCAACCAAAGCCACAGAGAGTTAGTCTTGTGCTTGGAAGAGAGTCTTCCTCAAGCACTAACAATACTTGCGTTTTCACAACTCCCTAAAACACAAGGTCTTTTTTTTTTAGAGACGGGGTCTCGCTATGTTGCCCAGGCTGGAGTGCAGTGGCTATTCACAGGCGCGATCCCACTACTGATCAGCACGGGAGTTTTGACCTGCTCCGTTTCCAACCTGGGCCGGTTCACCCCTCCTTAGGCAACCTGGTGGTCCCCCGCTCCCGGGAGGTCACCATATTGATGCCGAACTTAGTGCGGACACCCGATCGGCATAGCCCACTGCAGCCCAGAGCTCCTGGGCTCAAGCGATCCTCCCACCTCAGCCTCCCGAGTAGCTGGGACTACAGGCACGCGCCACCGAGCCTGGTCACAAGGTCTTCTTAAAAGTTTCCTGAGAACTTCTTTGGACTGTGCCTAGTGGCTGCAACCTCACTGCTAACCACCTCATTCATTGGTTGTACATAATTCCGAGGGTGGCCTCTCTAGCTCCAATGTCATTTCTGTCTTATTAACTCTTTCTCAGATGTTTTCCATTGAAGGATATTTGTCCAGTAGCACCACAGGATTATTTTCCAGTTTATTGAAAATCCTTCTCCAAGAAGTCCAGATGGGAACGAAAATAGAACTTGAGGATGAAGTGTCTGTGGCCACCTTTAGAAAGCCCAACTTGCTTCTTAGACAAGAGAATTTCCTTTCCGCTTTCAGTGTGTGCTGAGTGAAAATGAAAGAAGTGTGTCTGGGGAGTCTTGTCCTCATTTAGACACTTATAAGATCTCACCTCATTTTAGTAAAATTTACATGCATGACTAGTAATTGTTTTATTAAATTAGACATTCTCTTTTTCATTTAAAGATGAGTTTTAATTATATAAAACAACAATTGCTATAAAAATGATTGCGTGCGTTTATTTGAGCTTTGAGTGCCCTCTACTGGAATAAGAGGAAAAGTAAAAAATCAATACTACCTTGGTCTTTCATAGTTCTGTCCTGACTACTAAGGTATTATTATTAGGAAAACAATAATAACAGTGAGAACTCAACGAATCTCACTTAGAGCGACCTAATAGTAATAAAATATTTATCTAAAAATGACTTTAATGCAGACCTAACTGTCCGCATTTTGTGGGTTTTACATTTGTGAAAAGTCCTAAGTGATATTGACAAGAAGCATAGCTTTAGTTGCTCTCTTATTTCTAATGACTGTTTGTCTCCATGCCATGAGTTTTGGGTTTATAGCCATAGCCTCTGGAACGAGGCTGGACTCTGGATCTGTCTTCTCTTCTAAGGCTTTTCTTTCCAAAACCACGGGTGATTTCAGCTTTCATTTGGATGAGACACTTCACTTCCCAGCTTCACAGTCATTTGATCCCCTCTCCTCTGACCGCTTTCCCCCCTTCTCTGCTGTAACTTCATTTGCAGCCACTCCTTGGCCTCTCCGCTCCACCTCTGACCTCCCATATCCTGCTGTGACCTTCCCTGTGGACCGCCAGCTTCCCTCTTTCCATTGTCACCACCATGTCTTCACTCCTGCTCTGCTCATAGTCAGTGTGCCCAAGCCTAATCTCCTTCCCTTGTCTCTATTGAATCAGACTCTCGGTCCCTTCTTATTTCAATGTATTTCCTAATTTGTCTGGACTTCACAGTTTATTACTTCTTCCACACTGTCAAAAACGCACTAATTCCCGCCAACCCTTTGATCTTCTGCTGTATAAGCCTTGCAAACAGTCTATTCCACAGCAGCCTAATGAGTCATTCTGACCGACTCGGATTTCTAAGCTGCGAAGCACTGCTGAAGGAGGTCATTTTGCTTTGCTCACCGGGAAATGACAAATACTTATGGCCAACTTCAGGTGAGACTTCGGGAACACTCAAGAATGGTTTTTTTTTTTCTTTTTTGCTGTTTGCTTGTTTTTTCAAATCCCTCAAGGATTATTCAAACTTCAACTACTTTCTTTGTTCTTAAGACCTGCATTGCTTCTCAAGTTTTGAGAAAAATGTGTGGACCCTTCATTTACTTACCCTGAACATTCAAATGTGCCTTCAACTTTTATTTTAGGTTCCGGGGTCCATGTGCAGGACGTGCAGGTCTGTTACATAGGTAAACGTGTGCCATGGTGGTTTGCTGCGCCTATCAACCCATCACCTAGGTGTTAAGTCAAATGTGTCTTTATATCTATTTATTCTTCCCTTCTGCCACGGGAGATTAGTCTTTTCCCCATTTGCTTTTGATTCTATTCCCTCCCAGCTCTTCTTAGGGTTTGTTCCAACTGTTTGTTCAGTTTTTCTCTCTCTTCCCAGGTGATTCTCTCTTCAGCTCAGAGTATAAACGTTCCAGATTCTCCACTGGTCTGCATGGCCCCTAGAAAGGGTCGTCCCTCTCGCAATCTTGACCTTCCACAAACGACTTGCCCACATCTCCCTTGCTTCACTGTGAAGCTTTTAGAAAGAGTAACCTACACTCCTCACTGCTGCTTTTGGGCAACCACTTCCGCTTCCACACAACCCAGTTTGGGTTTATTTTTCTATCACTAACTAGAAACGGCTCCCGACAGAGGTAACCAGAGAGGTCTTGGTACCACCAAGTTCCCAGGATTATCCGCTGTGTTACTCACCCATCCTTAGCTGATGTTCCAGCGCCTAGGACAGCTACTTACGCTCCAATTCACTGTTGTGCCAGCAGGAAGACAAAAACGACAAGGAAAGGGATATCTCTTGTCTTGAAGGACATGTACCAGAAGGTGTGCATACCACTTCAACTTGCATCTCATTGGCCTGAATGTAGTCACATGTCTAACCTAGCTGCAAGGGAAGTCCTTATTCTAGTTGGCCATCTGTCTAGCCAACAATCGGAAGTTCCATTCCTAAGGAGAAAACTGCTATTTGAGTATATGAAATTTGATGTACTAAATGCTAACCAAAAATACAAAGAAACTAATGAAACTAAAGTTTTAAAAATGCATATTTTGGCATAACTTTAAGGAATTTTGCTCTGATATTTTGTGTAATATCTGTTGTCAGAAAATTATTGTTTTGATATTAATTATTCATATATGTTAATTACTAATATTTGCTAAATATTTTACTAACATATAAAGAGAGAACATACTGTTATTTTTGAGTCAAAAGTAAATAAATACATACTAATTTATTATTATATTAATATATATTTTGTGTGCTTACACTTAAAAAATAATTTTGTTTAACAGACACTGCGTTAATAACTACAACACTTACATTTCTCTAAATGTTTTCCTGTATTTACAAACAATTTTTTATAAAATGAAAGTGATTTGTTTTTCAGTTCACAAAGCCTCTCGAGAATATCAACATTAAGGCTTTTCTTTAACATCTATAGTGATTTGCAATTTACATGCATTTTTTATTTTACCTGAATCTCTTTCAGCTTCTCAAGCCACACATCTGAATCTACACGTCTAATTCTCGAGAACTCTGAAGTCTGACAATATGTGTAGTAAAGAATTTGATATGTTTTTACTCCTCCTATTCTCCACCTGTTTTACTTCTTACTTGCTGTTAACTGACCTGGGATACCAGAAAAATGTTTTAATTATGTGACTAATTTCATAATATGCCATTGTTTTTAAAGAACCGTATTGACTTGTGTAGTTATAGTTCTAATTAATATTTATAAGCAGTCTATATCACTCTATATACTTCTTTGTTTTAATATGTACTGTAGATCTTTTTCATTCTTAAGTTGTTTTAAGTTTTCACCTCTATCAGCTGAGGTACACCTTTACTTTGTTTTATTTTAGTGAATATATTCAAGAGTTCCATTTTTTTGACTGCTTGCATTGTGAGAATTGTTTTTATTGCTTAACACGTAATACTACTCAATTAGGGTATAAGAATCTTATAATACATCCCAGATACTGGTATTACTTAGAAAACTACAAGGAATCAACCGGAATATTATTAGAACCAAGGTGGAAGTTTTGCCATGTGGTTGGTTCTGACGTAAGTGTGCATCTATGGCCTTCCCTAAACCACAGAAATTGTATGCTGAGAAGTGTTGAATGGCGACACGATAGATATGATGTATTTTTAATTCCTTTTTATTTTCCCCCCCAGATTTTGCCTTCGAACATGGTATAGTGAATTTCCCATCTGTATCTTTCAAATACATCTGAAGCAAACTCCACAATGTTTTCTGTATTAACATGTATCCAGATTAAAGATTCAATCATAAACTTTATTTAAATGACTTTTCTCTTCCCAACACAGGTCTGATCCACGGTGCTAAGGATCTGAAGTGTGAAGTGAGACCTGGTTAGTTCTTTTAATTGCATTCTTCCTTCTGATCTATGTATAGCTTTTTAGGCTTGGGGCCAGCTATGCTAAAACTGCAGAAGGTGGTTCCGGGCTTAAGGGACTAGCAAACAAAAATGTTCTGATGAGGTGGAAAGTTGGGTGTGGTTCTAGAAACTCTTAAAGGCCAAATAAATTTGAGGTTAGTTTTATAAGGGCCCAAAGGCATGAGATGCGATTGAAGGATTAGGTAGAAACCAGATCATGAAGAGTTTTGAAAGCCATAAAGAGACTTGAGATTTTATTCCAAGCACAATGGAAACCCATCTGAAGTTTTCGAACAAGGGAGTCACTGGTAATCTAATTTATATCTTTAAAAGGCATCTCTGGCCATTGTGAGGAGAATGGTCTGTGAGGGACAAGAGTAGGAGGAAGACTAGTTAGAGAAGAATGGCGAAGGTCCAAGCAGGCGGTGTCAGTGGCCTGGATGAGAGTGGCGTAAAAAGAGATGATGATGTATACAATTTTAACATTCAGACGACAGGATTTTCTGATAGATTAGACACCGCATGGGAGAGAGAGAAAGAGAGAGAGAACTGAATGACTTCAGATATCTGACCTGAGCAACTCGATGAACAGTGGTGCCTTTGACAGGGAGGGGATATACTAGAGGAAAAAGAGCCGATATGATTAAAATAAGAACTCAAGGGTTTGGTTTTAGACACATTTGCCAAGATTCCTGCTACATCAAAGTGGAAATGTTAGATAGGCAGTTATACATACAGGTCCTGGAGCTCTGGGCTAGAGCCATAAATGCAGAGCCATCAGCCTATACATGTGGGGATATGTGGCATATAAAGCCATGGGAACCAAAGCAATCACCAAACAAGTGAGTGAATACATAGAAGAGAAGGGATCCAATGGCTAAGCCTAGTGAGACGTCAGTCTTTGGAGGCTGAGAAGATGAGGGGGAAGGAGTGATGGAGACTGACCCGGTGCAGCCAGTACAATGGGAGCAGAACTAGTGTGGTGTCCTGGGAGCCAGATTTAGAAACACTTTAGAAAGTGTTTAGAAAGTTTAGAAATACTCTAAAAGGTGTTTCAAAAATTGTGTCAATCTCTTTTTTAGCTCCCATAATTTTTTGGCTTTATTTCAGATGGGCAGATTATTGGCAACAACAAAACAATAATTGTTTTTCTCTGTTTCAATACCAAAACTATTTTTAGATGGACAGTTTTCTTTTGTATTTTCTGACAGATACTCCCTTGCCCTTGTGTGATTACTTTTTTCTAGATGCCACTTGGACATGCCTCCCCTTCCCACATACAGCATAGCCATATCATACACATATACAACTCACGTGATTCCAACTACATGTACTTGAGAGAGAGAGAGAGAGAAGGAACATTACAATGTCGTAGGTGATACCACCTGCCACACAATACATATGTCCAAGAATAGAGAAATAGATCTGAACCTGATGTTCTTCTGGGGTTATGCCCACAAAGCAACACTTTCTGAACCTATGGATGGCTTGTGAGATTTTTCAACATATTTTAGTTATATATAACATTTGCCTTATATGCTGAATCTAATCTTATGTTGGGTACAATTCTACCCTACCTAAGCTGGAGAGGGGTGCAAGCTGCCCAGTGTTAACTTTGTTCACAAAAAGGATGTGTGGAATGCTTGAAAGGCTGGTCCACGCGGGTCCTGGCAGGTCACTCTCATGTCTGTTTCCTCACCATCCAGCACTTAGGCATCTTCTGAGGTCTGCATGACTGAGGTGGAGTTTTCTTTGCCCCACCCTCACTTTCCTTGCTACATTAGATTTCATGAGCTTTCTCTTGGTCCCTAACATAGTCAGAACATCTATGTTGGTGGTTACTGTTTCACACACAAACTATCTTATCAGAGCTCTGCCTTCTTCCTCAACAACAGTGTGTCTATTGAGACGACCATTTAGCCCAAGACAGGACTGTTAGTGGATCTTTTTGATTAGTTTGTTTGTTTGTTTTATTTTTATTTTTTTAAATAAATAAAAAAATTAAAAAGTATCAAACAGCCCCAGTTATTTCTGGTTATAGCAACATAACAAATATTTTTTTTCAGGGAAAAAATAGGTACCCACTTAAATATGTGATATGAGGTAAACACACCATGATCTTCTTATGAACACAGCAAGTTGCTGAGGCACAATTTCCCCAGGTGGATAAAGCTGGGTACTGTTCTTCTTACTCTGCATCTACTTGTAGCAGCAGATTTCTACTGAGGGCCAAATAGTCACCTAGAAGGAAAGAAATGAAAGCTTTGAGGTTCTGGGTTATTAGAGGATATCCGATGACCTGGTGTTGTTCTGAATGAGGCCAACAGATGAGAGGGGCGCCCAGGGGAGTTGGATTTAGGTTTAACAACAGGGCCTTGCTGGTGCGGTGAGCTGTTTCTAGCAAAGCAGGTTCTGTGACCACGCCCCCCACCCCCTACCCTGCCCTGAAACCAGTGTCCAGGCACCATGATGTGCCCTGGAGAGAATGTCTGTGCCTGAGTGTAAAGTGATAGAATTCTATCTTGGAATTTGGGCCAGGCGTGGTGTGCAGCAACCATAGATGAGAATAAGTCTGAGAGGAAAAGCAGTTTCTTCCTCACCCTGGATTCAGAAGCGAGTCCAGGTCTTCAGTTCCTTGGGGCTTGCAGCCTTGCCCTGGAATATTTGCCTGCTGACCACACCAGGCAGTGGTAATGGCAGTAGAGAGAACACTCCCTCAGGGGAGATGGCCAGACTTCCCAGTTTTCTCCTCTGCAAAGGGTTATTAATCACCACGGATCCCCTTCCACTTAGCATGCATTTGAAGCACCTGCAGAGGAAGAGCCCTCTCGTTATCAGTGGAACAAAGGCTTAAAGTCGATAGGATTTGAGCATTAGAAACGAGACATTATTTTACACCACAAGCTGGTGAAGTGAGTCTTATCTTCATCAGAATTTTTATGTAAAATTTGGAGACTGCCAATCAGGAAAGCTACCTTGTGGACCCCAAGGTAGTGTTATTTTCCTTAACAATGACGGGGTAGAACTTACGGGAAGCAGAATGCAATTAAAACTCATATCCAATATTCTACTGCTCAACTGATGTCTTATTAAAAATGTGTGCTTGTGGCCAAGGAAGTAGGAGGTGCGCTCTCAGCTGTCAGGCAGAGAAGAGAGAGCCGTGCCCTGGATCCATGTTTAAAGGCCTGCACACTCAGATCCCCAGTCCATGAGGAGGGAGCCGTTTACATCCTCTTCCCACATGACAATCAAAATCACACCACAGACTTCATTTTTCTCACTTCTCCTACACAAGGGCTCATGGTTGGGCATAAGATAATGAGGACAGGCTCTGTCACCCACAGTGTGGCAAGATAAGATGTAGCATAGTCAGAAGAAATTATTTTAGGGCCCCCTCCCCCAGAATTTTCACTGGTGACTCAGTTCATCCTCTATGTGGCTAAATGGGTGATATCAGGTATGGAATCCTCAGATGCCCTAAGTTCTAATTCTGGCTCTACCACTGACTTCATTTCTGTGATAGGTATACTATCAAATGTCTCCATGCCCCTGTCTCCTCGAAGGGAAAACTCACTTCACCAGATTATAAGGAACACCAAATCATTGTGAAGCCCTCTGTCAAGTTGAGATTTGCATCATTCTTTGAACTGCCCAGGCTCAGCCCCTGTGATGTTTTATGAACTTGGCTCTCTGTAAATTAAGATTTACCGAGACATATTGCAGGAATGTTTTAAAATATTACTCATTTTAGTAGCATTTATAATTATGGCTGCTAGATCTTTCTTGGCATTCATTGTGTTAAACCTCAATGGCTCTACCAAGTAATGGATTTTGGAGATGGCCAGTAAAACTCATCCAATACCTCCTAAGTTCTCACTGTCTTTAATTCTGTCTCTAAGAAGGAATAATTATTAATCTTGAAGACATCAACTGTTTATTTCACATAGGAATTGAAAAATGCTTACTGACCCTGAAGATGACAGAAAATCTGAGTCACAAAAGAATGAACAGTGGTCTTATGGCATTCAACTACAGGAGAAGAAGGAGAGAAGAAAAGGAGGAGGAGAAAGAACGGGAGAGGGAGAAGGAGAGGCAGGGGAGGGGGAAGGGGGAGGGAAAGGAGAAACTAAGGAACACACCGGAACTAAGCAGTTACTCTTTGGACCAACGATAAACATAAAGGTCGAATACAGAATATTTTCCTTCTTCCCGTGCCTCACTTTGCTTATCTGGTAAATAGGGATAACAGCTCAAATCACCCTCGCTTAGTAGAGATTTATACCTTTGCAGAATTTGTAACTCTTGTTAGTATTCACTCACTAACTGCAATACAATAAGTGTTCATTAGGTGTATACATACATAGCTTTCCAGAAAAATAAAGTGCCTTCATTTCTTCCCGAATGATTCAACCTATAGAATGCATCTGTTTGTGGGTTATATTTTGTTTGTTTGTCTACGATGAAGTTAGAAATGTTTATTAATTGCAGTAATGTCAGAATTTTTTAAAACAGAAACCTCTTTATTGCAGTACTTACATGTAGGACTGTTAACTACAATAAATTCATGAGGAATTTGTAGATAAAGATTTAAGGGCTAAATACTAAAATTCCATATAGTCACTAAATATTCCCAAAGAAATGGAAATATCTGGGAAGTATATGACCATACTTTTTGGCCTTTATTTGAATATAAAAGAGGTGGCTTAAATGTCCATTAAATTACATTCCCAGAGAGTTTATGTACAAGGCAAATGATAACAGATTTTACATTGACTGGTGCATGTTGCTTCCCCAAGTGAATAGTAACATAGGGTTGCAATTCTTGAACTATAACGCAGGTGGGCCAAACTTTGGGATTTGTTGTATTTTTAAAATGGTAATGTGAGCACAAACTGTGTATTGTGTAACACCTCCACTGGGGGTTGGAGGAAGCATTCAAACACATTAAATTTTCTTCAGTAAAACATGAAAATATTCACACTAAGTGAGATAAACACTATTAAATCATTTCACATACTTTGATTATTTAAATCAGATAGTTTTAAAAAAAATGTTGCAGACTTGTATTTTCTTTCTCAGATTTGTGGCCTGTGCACCTGTATTATTTAAAGTGTTTGGGATGCTCTGCAGTCAACTGCGGGGAAGTCTTTGAAAATGTAATGAACACCCGTGGGAGGATATAATATCAAATACAAGTAATAGCTGTGAGCTCACTTTTTCAGGAACTCACCAAGTATGTAAGCCAAGAATATTTTTGTCTTGGTCCCCAGGATTGAAAGTAAACAAATTTCCAATACTGTCTAGATAGTGCAGTGGGTAAGGAGAAAAGAAATTTGAGGTACTTCAGATGCAGGGACGAGGAGTACACAACGGAGAGTGAAAAGAAGCTGCCAGAGAGATGGGAGGACGAATCACCTGAGGATAGCGTACATCGGTATGAGCAAATCATCTTGTTTGTTTGTTTTTGGTAATGTAAGAAATTCCATAATGACCGGGTTTGCAAAGATATCACACATGCTGAGAACTCAAGCGTCTATTCAAGTTGACGACATTTGGTAGCCCAGCTCAGTCTGCAGCAGGACTACCTGCAGAGCTCATGCCTGGGCCCTTGGAAAGGACTCTGTGCTGAGAAGGACCCACTTTTGGTTTAATGCTCTGTGGTCACTGACTTTATGTTCATAATCATAGTTAAAGAAGGACCCTCACATTTGCATTTTGCATTGAGCCCTGCAAATATGTAGGGGTTGTGTCCGCAGGCACAATAGAGTGGACGACCATCTCCACTTTCACTTTTTGCTAGAAGTGAGAGGACAGCCTTATGCCTAAGCATGGGAGGAGCCCGCTGACCACACGGCCAGGGAAGCCTTCGCTGTGGCTTCTCTCAGGTCTGCTCCAGGTATGTGAACACTTACAGAGACAGGAATGATGTAAACCCAGCTCAATTGTCTCATAGAACTGATGTTTACAGGTTTTTTGGATAAACATAGAAGATGACCCTCCCTGGTCTTAAAACTTGAAACTTACATTTGTCTCACCTGAGTTTCTTCCTCATGAAACTGACCCTCAGGCCAGAGACTGAAACTCACCAGATCTCTGCATCCAGGCCCCGCATTCCTTATAAATGCTTCCTTGCCTTTCTCTAACTCCTGTTTTCCTGCCTTACCCATCATATAAAGCCCCCCAGTTTTTGTCAGTTGAGGAGATGGATTTGACCCTTTTCTGCTGCAGCATTCAATTAAAGCCTTCTTCCCTTGCAATACTTGTTGCCTCAGTGACTGGCTTTCTGTGCATGGGCATCAGGACCCAGACTGAACCCCTGGTATTTCAGTAACAGATGCACGATGCACTTTATCTCAAGAGGAAGAATAATTTCCTTCTTATAATCTCCATCTAAACAACAGCATTGGACAGAATGCACAGTTCCTGTGATAGGAGGAGTGATGGGGATCTCTGCCACAGCCATAACCTCTGCTTATGTAGCATAAGGTAAGAGGTCTGAAGGCACCATCTCCCCAAGGTTAACCTAAGCAGAGAGTAATAAGTCTTCACATTTGTTTTGCATTCCACAATGTATAAAGGAGGTTTACAGTCATTATCAGATTTTACTGATTCATTCACTCATGAAACACACACAAACATACATAATCCCACCTACACACACCCACACAAACATACATGCATGCATACATACCCTTCACATATGTGCACATTTTTATTCTGCAGCAAGCGCAAGCCACAGAGCTGGATCCTCACCCACTGTATTAAGGGAATCTTCTCACCTCTTTCTTACTTGTCACTGTCTGTTCTCCTCTTTCCTCTCATGGGTGATTCATGGACACTATTGTCCCCCAGGATCTCCACTCCCTTCCCTTCAGTTCTTACCCCAGGCTGACTCTTGTCACTGCCATCCCGCTGACAAGGCACTCACCATGTTCTCCAGCACTCATTACTCCTCTAAGGAAAGCTTGTCTCTCACTCCTCAGGGCCGAAATTCTGCCACAGAGTTCCCTGATTTCCAGAGCACACCTTCCCTAAAATGTAAGTTCAGTATGAAATTGCCTACTACCCCCTTGTTCAGGGAAGACTCTCCCTCTTTAGTTTCTAGAACACAATTCCTTTCCTGGCTTTCTTTTATGTCCCTGGCACTGCTCTTCAGTCTCCTTTGAAGATTCTTTTTTCTCCCACAGTGGTTGAGGCTCCCCTAGGATTTCCTCTTTGACCCTTTTTCACTCTTTGCATTATTCCTAGGAAAGCAGTTCAATACTTCCCTGTGATTTCAATGGTCATTTATGCAACTGTAGATCTGAAGTTCTATATTTGTTCTGGCTAGCCATGTAATGTGGGACAATATATGTAATCTCTCAAGCCTCAGTTTCCACATCCATCAAATGGGCAAAATAATCATCCCTACCTGATACACATGACATATTAACAGTCATTGTCATTGAAGCACCTCTATTAATGGTGTTGGGCAGGCACTGTACCAATGAGCCAATGATTATTTAGTACATAACAATGATAGGAGCTATGAAGAATAAAGCAAAAGAATAAATGACCTGATAAATGTGAAACAATTAACAGACTGACATAAAAGAAATGCTCATAAATGCTACCATAGTCCTCCCTATCATCTGCAGTGAGGGTCTTTAGCTATTTCTAGCCTAGATGTCTCTCCCGATGTCCATAGAAACTCAAGTTTAGTACATCTAAAGCTATGTTTTTTATTCCCCACGTTGATCAATAGCACCAAAGTCTCAGCTGACCATCATTTCACCACCCTATTATCCACGTTAGATCTACTCCTCATCTCCAACCTTGTTACCCCAACCTGATTTAGACCTTTTAACTTTTTTGGCCTGATCTACTGTGAGAGTTAGCTATGTTACCCTTCTCTAGACTGGTGTCCACTCAATCCTCCACCCAACGGCTGGGGTAGCATACTGGTCCCCTGCTTAAAATCATACAATGGCTTGCTATCGTCTTCCATGGGTGTAGCTCAAGCTTTTTAGCCCAACCCACTACTCCAGACCCCTCCTCACTGCTTCTGCTGCAATGCACCCCCCTCCCTTCCATTTCCAACCCTCTAGACTGCAGGACATTGAAGTGTATGAACTCTTCCTGCTCACTCAGCTGTCTTGCCTCTGAACCTGTGTCCCCTGACACACACTGCCTTTCACCCTACAATGCCTTCCACACACGTTTTACACACCTTTTGAACTAGCTAACTATTGCTCAGGGTCAACAGCACCTCCTTTAAGCATTTCCCTGGTCTCCATCCTACCCCTCCCTTATTCCATCTGAGTTGTGTATCTCCCATAAGGGTCTCACATACCCTGCTCAAGTCTCTTTCACTAAAATCACCAGGTTCCTTTGGATTTTACTTTTGTGCCTGTTTTTACCAGATCTTTATTGAAAGAAAGAATGAGTTTTACTTGTTTTCCCTGGATTCTTTCAGGAGGACCCCCACTCGGATTTTCCCCACAGGCTGTGTGCTCATGTGTCCTCCACAGCCCATAATTGCCTATAGTGAATTTGCCAAACTCTGGATTTGTCAGTTTTAAAAAATATCATGTGGGAAATACCAAAGGGCCGGTCTAAGCTGGAATGAATGGAAAACTTGCCTCTAACCCTTCAAGGCCATAGTTCAACCACGGAGATACCCAATTTACATGATTAAACCGACCACTTAGCATCTCATGTTACGGCATCTGCATTTGTATTTATAATGCCTTTATATTTTTATCCAAGAATCATGGATTAATTCTTGCATTACTTCTATGTGACAAGAGGGCCCAGTATGAACTTTTAAAAACAAGAGAAGTCTCCAGTACAGGAAACTATCAGAACCCAGAATGCTAATACCT